TACTTGATATGGTAGGTAAATACATACCTAGAGCAGACAAAAGTTCCATTGTCCTCTCAGGGTCTTTATGTGAAAGATGTTCTGCTTTCTTCAGTTCGTCCTCCATTTTGTCTTTTTCTCTTTTCCGACCAAAATACGCATGCTCATTGCTTTAACTGAATCGTATACGAGTTAAGCACACTATGGTTTTTTATCCAAGCCCAGTAGAAAAACGTAAGGTAGTTTTACGTAGTTAAAACTACGCTTTTAGCAATACCTATAATTAAGCTCATGACAATAAAGCTAGTAATATTATAAACCAAAACACCCGGCAGCACTACTGGGTGCAGATTGATGCGATAAAGATGGAGTTTGGCTAATTTTTGCTATTTTAGGCAATAAAGTCATAAACATAACCTCTTTATCATAACCAAAGCACCAAAACTCAACTAACGAACTTGGGGGGTTCCAACCTGCAGGTTAAATTTGCAGGTTGATGCAGGTTGGCGATTGAGTTTTGGTTAGGATATGAATAAACAACTCATGCAGCTTAGGGTTTGCGGTTGGATATGAGTTAAGTTCGTGACATTATTGCAAAAAAGGACGTAAAATATCCAAAATCCATCTGTATTCATCAACCTGCAATATAGACCATCTGGACATCGCACACAACCCCAGCCTCAGCTAAAAATTCCTTGATAAATTTATGTACACTATCATATCGAGTGAATTTGGCACAGTACTCGCAAATTAGTGTTTCATTTTTGATTGTTTGCTCAAACTGATCCAGTTCCATATTGTTCCATACGTGATATATTATGCATGTCAATATGAACGCAATAGGAGAATCGCAGAAGTAGACTATTGAATATTAATTTAAGTGTTTAATGTATCCAAAATATGAATATTCAGGGTAGGAATATGAATACATAGAGTAGGAAATCAATATAATGAATATCTGAAACAAAATCGGAAAATTCGGAATAAATATTTCCTTCCGACCACATCTCCCCCAGCCCGCTCATGCGCACGGGATTTTAAGAATAGTGAACGTAGTCGACTATTATTTCGAAGTAAATTGATTTCGCTTCCACCCCTGAAAACTTGGCTGTCTCGAACCTTGGCATTTGCCAGCTAAACAGTGGCGTAAATATGTACTAATATTAATTCTAATAGTATATATACATTATCCTTTCTACAGCATTATCAGCATAAGGTATGGGCATCTCCTGTCTCACCTCCCTGCCCAGGTACAGTAACTGTATCACACTTTAGGTCCAACTCTCACTGTCCAACCACCAGCTGCTTCCTAATTCTCGCCAATGGAATATTTGCCAATTTTCTGCCCGCCTTCGGTCTGCAGAGGAAATAAACCTAATTGGTTTGTCTCCTTTCCTCCGAACTGTTTCTATCTCGTCTGGGAGTTTGTGTGTGTCTCGCTCCTCGGAACCCGATGTCCCACCAGCTTCCATCCGATGTTCCTCCGTAATACAACAGGAATTCCGTCCCACTTACAGAAACATGTACCGTCCGTAATTACTGTATCTTGCATGTTTTTTTTCTGGCCAGTTACATGCAACCAAACAAAAACCCATACTCAGATAAAATTAAACCACAGTGTCTAGTCGGAACCCGGATGGCCGGGAACCCGAGCGCAGAGAAAATGACAATTAGTCAACTACTGCTCAATTGAGAAACAAGGGAATGATCTGGAAGCCAAAACGTTTGTGTCGATATTTTTCTTTACTCAGAAACTAAGGCAAAAGGGGACGTGAGCCCACAAAGCACATCGCGCGATTTCTGTCATGTAAAATACACGAGCACTCATAGCGCTTCACGTTTTCTGTCAGGTAAACATGAGCCCAAATCATGCATCACGATTTCTGTCAGGTAAACATGAGCGCAAATCATGCATCACCATTTCTGTCAGGTAAACATGAGCCCAACCCGTGCATCACGATTTCTGTCAGGTATTTGAGCCCAACTTGAACTGTCTGTGTTTTCGTTAGTAAGGCATGTATGCGCATCTACCTGAAAAATATAAGAAGAATTTCGACGCTTCGAGCGAAGGCCCTTCGTCTAGGGTTAGTTTGTTACTCCAGACGAAGGGCCTTCGCTCGAAACGTCGAAATTCTCCCTATATTTTCCAAGTAGTTGCATCCCTACTATCGAAAGCGTATTAATATGAGCTCAACCAATGCATGACGATTTTTGTCAGGTAAACATGAGCCCAACTCACGCATCACGATTTCTGTCATGTGGAACGTGAATTGCCTCACGATATATGAGCCGAAAAAGCCCAATATAGTTCCAGTTTATAGGTGACAGAAAATTATCTAACGAGTAACGTACGAAAATTCCCCATGATACAACATATTCATGGGAAAAACGCAACACTGCGTTTTCAACATAAAGTGGACTGGAAAAATGGGATTTGGTTACTTGGAATGGGAATAAAAGACACGAATAAGGATTGTAGTTGGATCGCTAAATAACTTGGCCTGTCATGTATTAAGAATATTGCATGCTACTAAGTCGATATATCATTTACTTATTCATTTTCTCAACGTTGAGTGGCTAATTTTTCTGCAAATAACTGATGTGAATAATACGTCAGTTGCAAATAACTAGTGCAAATAATGGTCTGAGCATGCGCACTTTTGAAATCAATTCTCAATTGCAACATATCGATTTACGCATGCGCATGTACGATTCAATTAAGCACAAAAGTAAACATGGCTAGTTTTGCTGAGCTTTCAGAAGTTCGTGACGGCCACAAAATATCGAAAATGAATAAGTAAATAATAAAACAATTATTGAACTCGGTTATCGCAAGGTATCCTGATTTCTCAGTGCCTCGTAGATCAAATATTTACTCGCCACTGACAAATCACGATATTTTATTCAACCTCGTAAAATAATTGTATATTATTTGCCGAAAATGAAATGTATTTTTATAGACTTCGCCTTCGACCCTTTTACTCGGCAAAACTAGTAAAGAGAGCACTGTATAAACACATGGAATACCTGAATTAACCTTTCTCACGATGACGAATATCCGCCATTTTTGGGTGGCATATAATTCTCGTTAACCAATGCAGACAATTAAAAAATGTGAAAAACAATTTTTGAAAACCATTATTATCATTCGTCCAATAATTATAGAAAAGTCGCTGTTATGTGGACTTATCTCGCAGACTTAGGCTGAAAAGTCACCACAAATGGCGGCGTGAGAAAGGCTAATTGAGTATTTTCCTTTTTTCTTATCAATGGCTTTATATATATTCAGAGTTTATGTTGTTTATCTTAACGCTTTGTAAATAGAACCGATTTTGAATCGATAATTAATAGCGCAAAAACTTACTTGAACTAGGGATGTAAATCTTAAAGTCTTTGAAGGTTTCTATATAGACAAGGGCACAGCTCAAAATAACTAGTATAACTAGTTTTATCTTACATTCATTTTCATCTTACATTTATAACATTGTATTACAGTATTTAAAACACGAGAAAGAGTGATTTATCGGATATACAACACGAGGCGTAGCCGAGCGTTTTATATCTGATTAAACACGACAACGAGTGTTCTGAATAAAATACGACTACAAAAGATGCCGTCTCATTATTAATATTCTTTATATAAGAATACAAATTAGGATGAACAATTATATAATGCCACATGTGTTTTATCAGATATAAAGTCACTTCACGTAACATATTATGACACGATTTGCCACAAGGTTTATGAATTATTAATGACTATTTTAAGTTTTTGTGTTCACTAGTATAAAGGTTCATGTAATTTTCCCGACCACGCTACCAATAGGGACCTACAATACAATACAATATGATTTATTAGTTAATCCCAATAAGGGCTTTTCATAACTAATTTACAAATAAGTGCAGTAATATAATATTTACATGCAATTATTTAGAACTTATGTTAAAAAGATAGATTGTCTATAGCTAAACTAGAATTACTGTATATTACGAGGACTGTTAAAAATTAATTATATCTATTGATTAACTCTGTTTGTACAGCCTTCTTAAATCCTCCTAGAGTTGAAATGTTTCGAGTCGAAAGATCAAATGAGTTCCACAGCAGTGCTGCATGATTAACAAAGGATCGCTTAGCCTTAGATGTTCTACATCGTAATATGTTGAAGTCATTTGCTTGCCTAGTAAAGTGATTATGAATTTGCGAACGGATTACTAGCTTGGAGCTGAGATAGGCAGGTGTAAGACCATGAACTATTTTATACATCATGATGGCGTCACGGTACAATAGAGAGTCGTTAACTGACCACCGTCCCAGCTTATCTAAAGCCGGGGTGATATAATCGTACTTTCTTGTTCCTGTTACGATTCGTGCTGCAAAGTTCTGTACTTGTTGTAGTTTCTTAACGTTCTTTTGGGTGGTGCCAGACCAAACCGTAGAACAATAGTAAAGTTTGCTAAATACTAGGCAGTTTATCATGATCAACAAGGCATTCTTGTCGAACAAGTATTGAACTCTGTTGATTTGACACAGACTTGATGTTAGGGTCGACGTCAACGAATTGATGTGATCGCCAAATGTCAGAGTGGCATCTAAAGCCCGCCGCACACAAGAGAAACTTGCTGAGCTAACCGCCTCGCGTGGCGTCCAGCTCAGCTATGCATTTTCACCGCACACGTTGGGAAAACTTTTCAACAACAACATAATTGACAAATTCGTTTGCATTTTCCTCCATTGTATTCAAAGTCACATGAAGAAACTATGGTTTCTCATTGGCTAATTGATGCAAGCAGCTCAGCACTAAGCTCACAACATCCGCAGACGTTGAGAGTTTTTCCTCGCGAGGTAAAAATATCAAACACGATAGATATTTTCCTCAAGGCCTCGAGAGGTTAATTCCCCACGAAAACTATCCGCACACGAGAGAAACTTGCTGGGCTAGCTACCACGGGAGGCGGTTAGCTCAGCAAGTTGCTCTCGTGTGCGGCAGGCTTTAAGTGAGACCAAGGTCGACTTTACAAACTGTGACAGGTGTTAATATTTTTCCTAGAAAAGGAATTGATAAGTTTGGCAGATTCTTTATCGATTTCTCCATTCCAAATATCATAAACACTGTCTTCGTGGGATTTATTAGAAGCTTATTGGAACAGCACCATTCTGCTATATTTCTGAGATCTTGGGAAAGGCTTGACAGGTCAAGGTCGGCTTCTGATAAGGAAAATGATATAAACGTCTTTGTGTCGTCAACATATGATTCTACGTTACAATTCGAAACAACTTTGGGTAAATCGTTCATGTATATTGTAAACAGCAGTGGACCCAAGATGGAGCCTTGTGGGTCTCCATGTTTCACCAGTAAAGAAGTTGACGTAGATTGACCAATGCGTGTGACTTGATATCTATCGGATAGATAACTCTGAAACCAATCAACGCTAGAGGAAGAAGCGCCCAAATTTTGGAGCTTTTGGAGTAGTCTTTCATGGCAATTGCTATCAAAGGCTTTACTCAGGTCTATTAAAACCATTGCTGTAGTCTTTTTTTCGTCCATTGCTCTAAAAATGTGGTCAGTGATAAGTAAGCAACTGGTTTCAGTGGAGTGTAGCTTTCTATCACCACTTTGATGGTTGGTTTAGTTAATCTCTGCTTTTAAACTAAGTATTCTGTAAACTGGATCAGAGCCAAGCGTT